TGACACTAATCTACTGCTATTAGAGAATGAAAAATTACTTTTTTTACTGTTTGGTATGCAAATGCCTGGTAATCGTAACTAAGAAAAGTTCCAGTGTGCATGGCATGGTACAAAAACAGAAAGAAAAAAATTCCGACATTGAAAGGTACAGATATGGAAAATTATGAAAAAAACAAAGATACACAGCAACTTCACAAGAAAAAAAAATCTTAAAACTGTAGACCACATATAAGCATATGTGCTGTAGTAGTTTCTTTGTGTGTGAGGATGGAGATTTGTGATACAAATAGAAGCAAGGGTGGAATTAACATTGTTCTTCTCAATTTCAGAGCTGTCTTTCAGCAAGAAAACAGACACTGGAATTTTGAGAAACATAGACTGAGAGACAACGGAAATCAGAAGCAATGAAAAATCTGAGCTTTTTTTATCCAAGAACAGCTAGTGTGTGATAAGTACCTTTCATGAAAATAATATTTTTTAATTATTGTTTTATTCCAAACAGGAAAGAAGACAGGCTTCTGAAACTTGAAAATGGTCAATAGTGACACAAGCAGCCAAGAGAAAGGAGAAGTTCATAAATAAGAAAAACTCCACAATTCGAGAAACATCAAAACACGTATCAGGAGTGGAAACTACAAGCCTAGCAGCATATATGGCTTAGAATTTACTTTCACATTTCTTTCCTTCTAATTCTTGGATGATACCAAGGTTTTCTTTGTTGTTCCCAATGAAATGGCCCACCAGATCCACCAGGCATATAATAGATTTGTAAAACCCTTTCCTTTCCAAGATCTACTTGTCTAGTCTGAGCATAAGAGGAGAGAGCATTGAAAATTTCCTTCATTTTCTGGCTTCTGAAAGGAGTTGTAACGTCATGTTTCTCAGACCATGAGAGAGGCATACGATGATCTGGAGGACTTAATAAACCTCTGGAGACAACATTCTCCTTTTTCATTGAAGCTATTTCACAGGGATGTTTGACTCACAAGCGTAACAGCATTTTTCAACGTGTATTCCCTGTGCTCTCCAAGATTTTAACTTTAGCAGGTTTTAACCTAGCAGTTAGTTTGTGTGTCTGATTCCCATTTAGGTTCTCCTTCAAAAACACTCTTCTCTTGTTTTAGCACCACACAGCTTTGGCCAGGTTCCAAAGTTTTTTTAAGAAAGAATGCAATGGACTGCTATATAGATAATTTATACAGAAATTACTGCCAGTCTCATGGGCAGCTACTGAGCCTCACTGTGATTGGAACTAATAACTAGTACTAAGATATGATAATTTCATTTAACATTAGGAAACCATCTGGTGCCTTCAGTTCTTGTTGTAACATAATGCCACTGTTTTACTCAATCCACTCTCATTAAAACCAGACAAAGCAGCTAAGGAAAAACGTATACACAGATGACAAGTTTATCCTCTCAGTCATCTTTGTGCAACCCCCCTAGAACTCATGCTGTCATAGATTTTTTTAAGTAGGAGGGGACTACTAAAATCTAACCTGAGGTCCTGTATAATGAAGGCTATTTCATTGAGTAGTCTCTAAATCAAAAGCGTAACATGTTTGGTCTATGCTGTACCTATTTTCCTTACAACGGCTGCATGTGATGCATGAACCCAGACCACTCCTAGATAAGTTCTACCAGCAGTTAATTACTGTCACTCTTAAAAATATGTACCTTATTTCTAGTCTGAATTTGCCTAACTTCAGTTTTGAAACACTGGATCTCATTATGCCTTTTTCTGCTAGATTAACCAGTCATCTACTGTCAAAAGTCTCATTTCCATTAAGGCACTTTCAGACCATGATCAAGTCACCTCTTAACCTCCTCTTCAGCAGATTAAACAGCCCAATCTTCTTTAGCCTCTAACTACAATGTGTATTTCCAGACCTACAGTCATTCTTTCACCTTTAATGAACTATTTCCAATTTTAAACATATTTTTGAAGTGTGGTCACCAGAACAGGACACAATAGTTCATTAATAGTTTCCCTAATGCAATATAAAAAGGCAGTGTTACTTCCTACTTGATATTCACTTGTCTATATATCAGAGAATATAATACATAATACTTAAAACCATCTTTTAGCTTATGGATAAAACAGAAAGTATTCTGAAATGAATTTAAAAGGTGAGTATTTATTTTGGTTTTTTTTTTTTTACACACAATGCAGGAAACATATACCTCTTCTGTCTTTTCTATACTATCTACCTTCAGTGTCGCTTCTGTCACTTAAGATATTTTTCTGATGGTTTTGGTCTTCCTTGATCGGTTTCCTGTTCTTAAGTGCTTTTTGTATTATTATTTAGTAGTAGTATCTATGAGCTCTTCAATTCTAGTAGTATCTTTTAAGGCAATTCCACTTATGTCTTATTTTAAAATATTTTCTTGCATTTTCATTTTCTTCATGTAAGGAAATTACATTCCTGAAGCAACTTGCTTATACAAAATAGAAGTATATTTTGAAAACACACGAATACAGATAGACTATGTTGACCAGAGCTATAGTATTCTGTTTTCTGATAACTCAACCTTGTTACGTAAGAATACCTAATTTTACCAGATAGTTTACTGTAACAGATAAACTCTATATAAATATGTTGGTTTACCTTTCATGGAATTTATTTAATTAGATTGTATTCCTTACACAGGTAGGTCTAGTGAATAACATTTACATCTAGTAAACTCTAATTTCCACCTGGAAGTTGCTTCAGACACTGAATGAATCAAATGAGTTTTAGTATAGTTTCCATTTACTTTCTGAGCATGATTTTCACTTACTGGCTGAACTACAAGAAAAGTTGTAGCTAATTCTAATGCTTAAGTTTGAATCCATTTCATCAGGTAAATAATACCAATTAATTTACATACTACTAGATAAGATAGTAATCATCAGAAAAACATTTGGAATCATTTGGTTGCTAGGTGGAACAGAAGTTCTTAACTATCAGTGCATTCTCATGTCACAAAACACTTAGTAACCATGTTCTTTTCACACATAAAGTTCAGAAAACATGTTTGTTCAACAGAACAAACCTTAGTTTGACCTAAAATGTATCAGCTGCATACAGAAATCCATCTGTTTTGTTCTTATTTCTCTTTTTCGTTCACAGTAAAGAAGGGGAATTCATCAATGTACTAAAAGCATTACCAAATTATGTGATCTGACACCATAACTCTGTTGTGTATAAGTCTAGGTTATTTCAACTGCAAACAAAAATCTTCTATGCAGGATGTGCAATTGCTATTTCATTAGAAATAAGCCCTCTCTAGTTCTTGCATACAATATACTAGATAAACACAAAATATATCTAGATAATTAGAAACAGAAGAAGAAAGAGAGCAGGAAGAAAGAAGCGTGCAGAAAAGGGAGCAGTATATTAATATACAGAGAGGAAAAACATCCAGAGAAAGATAAATAGTCTCTGTGTGCTTAAAAACCCATAGATTATGTGCATACAAAAAAGGAAAAGGAGTGAATAAGAGGGAAAATTATGGGTGGGAAGACAGAAAAATAAAAATCAAGATGCTTAGAAAAGTGCTTCTGGCAACCAGAAGGAAAGACACTGCTAATTTAAACTTGCTTCCTAATATTTTAGAGTCCACAGTTCGAATCTGAATTAGAACACGTTCAAACTTTTCTGCCAGACAAAAATGAAATTAAAGCCCTGCAGTGTTTTCTGGTAACTCAATAAATACCTTGTGACATCTCTTTATGTCCTGAGAAGTAAATCATTTTGACTCTTTCAAAAACCTCAGTCCTTAAACTTTCAATGTTGTTTCTTTTAACTGCTTCATGTATTTCCTGACATCAAGAGATCTCTAATTGATTAGTTATTTCTATTAACTTCATCAGCTCATTTTCCAACAAGTATTCTGTGGAAAATACTCAGAACCTTTCCAATGTATGCTGTAAGGTAAGCAGCCTAAAACATTCTGAGATACCAAAGTTTAATTCATTTTTATTTCCAAGCAGAAGCTGAAAGCCTTATGATTATTTTTTAAAATTAAAACTATGTGTACACTTCAACTGATCCTAAGGTCATAAGACTAAATAGTGACTATTTAGCCTTGATGTCTAAACAAATTTTGTACTCTCCGAATCTGATGAGAGGAGCTGAGCACACATTTTTCATTTTCTGCACCAGTTTACGTTACCTCAGACCTCAGTTTGTCTAATTTCAAATGCCAGTGTAACAGACACAGTAAAGCTTCAGTTTACAGCATAATAACTCATAAAAACATTCTATCTAGAAGTCTTCAAAATGTACCAAAGATCAGACAAATATTGTTAAATACCTCTCTCTTTGAAAGATCCAAGACACCTCTGTGCTATCAAACACAAGATGTTACAGAACAAACCATCCTCTCTCCCTTCATGCATACTTCTCACTAATTTAAGCCCACTTAAAAGCTTGATGAAGCTAGAAAAGAAAGACTTTGTTCTAATTCAGCAGCATATTTCACTATATTTCAAATTGAATTATCTTAGTAACAGGTTAAAAGGAATAGAAAAACTGGAAGAATCTGAGCTTTTTATATGGACCCCTAATTTCATTCAAAAGTTTCTCAAAAATACAAAGTCCAAAAGGTTTTTTTCAGTCCGACCACTAATATCCTTAGTGTAGTCCGGTTGCTTGAACAAAGACTGCAATTAACTGTAATGTTATTGAACTGATACTGTAACTCTTAATCTGACAAAACTCATTCTCGTACACGGCTATAGGAGATCCGTCTGAGCAAAGTGTTCAGGTTTCTTCACCTACTCCACTGTTATAAATTCAATTCTTCAAGCAAAAATCATCAAATAAATTGCCTTTTATTTCCCGTGAGACATTTTGCATTTGGCTCTTTTGCTATCTTGCAAATCCACAAAAAAGTGATTTTCAGTTGCTTTTGACAGCAGTGGGAATCCTATCTGTTGCTCCTCAGGAAGGTGCACAAACTTTCCACCCCACAATCGGGATATAGCATCTTTTCAAACAGAATATAAAGCTTACCTTGAAGAAAGTCATGGTTGCTCCATCTTCAACTGCCCCATACTCTATCTTTGTCTGCTTGGCCAAATCATCAGCAGAATCAATAGGGGATTCCATACGTTCCACTGTCAGAAAGGCGGCTAGGTTAGCAGTGTACGAGGAAATGATGATAAGTGTGAAAAACCACCAAATGCCTCCCACTATCCTGGTGGAGAGGGCTTTGGGCATGAGCTCAGAACCTAACGAAAATCAGGGGAGAAAGGTGAAACCAATGCACAGAAAATAATTAATAAGTGTTCAGCACTTTTTGCCACAGTGGGGAGATGGAATCACTGTGCAAAAAAAATCTTTAAGCTACAGGCTTACATGTACTACTTGTACAAACACATACAACTGAAATGAAAAATCAGAACTGATTACGCTTATAAAGACAGATCTTTTCGGAGCTGTGGGAATCAAAAGATAGTAATGGGAGACTCAATGATTAGTGCCTTCTTAAAATTTATAAACATATATATATAGTAATGTGAAAAAAGCGGTTACTTGAACTGGCTTTCCAGAAAAAGTCCTGGCTGGACTGAGCCTCTAAGTTAATATTAATACTGAGGCACTTACTCAGTTCTTTATCTTCAAGGCACTAAATAAATATTACTTAAGTATTTTGTAAAAACCCACTTAAGTAAATAAAAATAAGCTATTGATGAAAGGAGCAGATATGAAACAAAGTATTTCATATCTGAAATACAAAATCTGAAACCTATTATAAATATGCTTTTCACTTTTGCCATCTGAATTGCTGTAAAATGTTGTTTATTGAGTGCTTAGATTAAAAACTGAACGTCTCCCATCTCTATAGTTAGCCCCACAATTTCAGATAAACATGGGTGTCTATGCCACAAAATTTGAAAGAGCAGCAATGAAAATATTAGACTGTTATGCATAAACTAGATAAAGATAGATTATAATGCATTGCTGGAGTTGCCTGCTCATGGCACTGAAGAATGGAGGGGGAGACAGACATTGTATAGTAATTTACATAATTATTAATGCTAATTTAGAGTCTAATGAGACAAATTGAAGCACATAAACTCCTCTTGTGCCTAATTACTAAAAATAGGAAAAAATAAAATTCAATGTAATTTACAAACACAAATATTTATTATAAATGAGAATGTATGGATTTCTTTCCATAACGTTATAATTGAATGGAATGACATTTCTAATGACGTCAAATAAAAAATTTCAAGCTTCATAGTAAGAACTTTATGTAAGGTCTTTTACAAGTATCCAGAAACTTGTTTTCAAAGAAACAGTTTTACCGTATCCACTCTACCATCATACCAAAACAATCGCTTTTTGTTAAAAGTCACTATGCTTGCTTTAAAATCTTCTGGGTAAAATGGAATGAAGGCAAGATGGACTATTTTATTCCTGTTAAATTTTAGCGTTTATATTGAATTATTTAAGGAACTGGTCCAGCAAGGTAACACATCTTCATATAAATGAAAGATTATGCCAAACTTCCAGCATCAATGCCAAAAAAAAGAACAGAAAGAGGGGGAGGAGGGAAGGAAGAAAACCAAAGAGAAGGAAAAAAGAAGTGGTATCATAACTGGACTATCGTATTCAAAAACAGCCCATCTTACCCTGCAGTTCATCTTACCCTTGCTGTTTCAAACAAAAAAAGCTGACAGACTTGGACATGACAGCCA